TTTGACCCTGTACGACAGAGTGGAACGCCCCCTGTGTTTCTGGCTGTAATTCTTTACGAGAGTAGAAAGTCTCTTACGTAACTGCTGGTGGCTTGCGGTGATCAGCCCACTGCGTCACCTCCATGCCAAGAGGGCTCACAAACCTCACCACAGAACTATGAGATTACATACAAGACACTGATATCCTTATTTGGCTGAGGAGGAAATGGAGAGACAGACCAATTAAGTAGCCAGCCCAGGGAAGAAGCGACCTCTGACGCCAGGAAGTTATGAACCAGAGGAGCACACCTGCCCTCATGCTTATCAATGGTACACAGACCAATGGATGAGGCTTGCCAATGTATTGCCATCTTGTTCTGGGGCAATGACTAACCTCGCTGGCTCTGCGCTGACATTTTCCCAGCCACAGGATGAAATGAAAGCCACTCGTGACTAGTCCCACACAGGTGTATCTTGCAAAAGTACCATGGCTGTATAACTGAGAGGGTGTGTTGAAATAAACATTCCCCAAATTGAAGAGTACCAGAAACATCTAAGCCGCTCCTGCTTAAAACTATTCTTCTGTGATGCCTCTTGAAGAAAGCATCTCTTCACAAGCCCAGGAACTCTGCCCTCACCCATCGTTCACATGCATGGTCTTCCTGGAGGACGCGTGCTGTGGATGCTAAATGTGCCCACTCTTGGAGGCCGGGGTCTGTCTGGCCGATGATACCCCAAGTTGGCATGAAGGTCTGAATAAAGGCGTGACACGAGGAACGGGCATATGAGGGTGCTGACAGTTGTGCTTAGAGACCCAGCAAGCTCTGTCTGAGTCTTGCTGTCGCTCTAGTTTCTCGTTAGTTGTTGGGTGCTGTGCAGTGGGTTCCCACTCAGAGCAGCCGCAACTGCAGCAGAAGGAACACCTCCTGGTCCGACGCCATCCTCACAATCATTGTTTGAGCCCAATGTTGCAGCCACTGCGTCAGTGCGTCTGGTCGAGGGTCTACCTCTTTTTCACTGCCCCGCTCCTTAACCAAGAGTATTGTCTTCTCCAGGGACTGGTTTCTCCTGATAACATATCCAAAGCAGGTGAGATGAAGTCTCTCTAGTCTTGCTTCTAAGGAGCATTCTGTCTTAATTTCTTCCAAGCCAGTGTCTTTCTTCTATTGTTATGAGTGCTGCCACACAGACCCCAGGTCAGGGTGACCCTGTCGTGTGCAGAGTAGAACAGCTCCATACGGTTTTTGCTGTCTGAGGTCTTTGGAAGCAGATGGCCAAGGTGTCTCTGGGTGGGTTTGAACTGCCAACCTTTTGTTAATACTTGTAGCTGAGGGTGACGCCAAACTACTATGTCCTGTCTCCTGTTGTTATTGTGTGCTGTCGAGTGGATTCTGTCTCAGAGCGACCCTATAGGACAGAGTAGAACCACCCTATAGGGTTTTTTTTGGCTGTAATAGTTATAGGATCAGACTGCCCGGACTTCTCTCCCCTGGAACTGCTGCTGGGTTGGCACCCTGGACCTCTTGGTGTCCAAGCTGCCTTCTCCTTTCTCCTAGCACTAAGCAAATAGCTTTTCACAGTGGTCAGCCCTTGAAGAGGCCAACTCACGTGAAGAATATTGGAGTTTTCCAAAATGATTTTCTACACTTGACTAGATAACCTGATTTATTCCTGAATTGATCATTTTGGAAACAAAACCCATCGCCATGGAGTTGAAGGTGTCCCGGTGACAGAGTAGGTTACCTGTTGGGCAGCTCACTGCAAGGTCAGCAGTTTGAGGCCACTGGCAGTTCCTTGGGAGAAGAGGAGGCTTTCTACCCCCTATAAAGGGTTACAGCCTTGGAAACCCACAGGGGTTACTCTGTCCTAGAGGACAACTCTGAGTCAGAACGGACTACATGGCAGTGAGTTCAATTTGGTTTGATTTGTCATTGAGTCAATTCTGACTCAGAGAGACCCTAT